GTGTAAATTATGAGGAGGCAACGTTCATGAAAATAACTTACTAACTAAGTTTTTAATTCTTACATCATCAAGGTAGATGAATTTACTAAATACCGGTCGGTTCCTGAAGCAAAATCTTAGAACACAGCGTTCTAGTTTGGCAACATCAAACTTTTTTTGTCTATAGATAAGTATCGGTTAGTGGCATGAGAATGTTTCCAGATTGAAGCACATCACAACGTACTGGTTGATAAGCCCGTTGGTACACGCTTGCCCACGTCCGGGCAATGTGCCGGCCTCATTCCCGGCAATTACAGTGCAAGCAAAATTTCTTAAAGAAGCAGCCGCTATGCTGGATACATCAACCGATAACAGTAAGGAACGAATACAGCAAAGGTATGTGCACATTGCGATTTCGCACTTTTAATTTTTATGCTTTTTTTGCATCTGTGCAATGCAGAAAATGCATATCGATGACAGGTTGTCTGTGTGTGTATCAGTGTGTTCGTCTGTACGGATTTTTGGTCTGGAGACCTACAAAAGCTGCAGGACTGAAGCTTTTGGAACCATACATGTACGGGCCCTGTCCTCAAAATGGACGCTCTTACTCGCGTAGTGCTCATGTGCGAGCCTGTGAAAGTTTTTTTCGGGTAAGTTGCTAACTCGGAAAACTGAAAAGAAGGCTGTAATTTTAAGGGGATGTTCACCGTCCACCCAGGTCCTAATGAGTTCCAACCCAGCCCACAATTATGCGTGGTTCCTATGTATGGAGCCGTGAAAGTTTTTTGCGGATAAGTTGCTAACTTAGGAACCAGGAAATCTAGAAGGCTGGAATTTTAAAGGAGTGTTTCCTGACAATCCTGGCGGCCAGTCTCGATTCTTTTAGCTAGAAACATCTGTCGGAAAAAAGTGCCGTTAGTGACAAAAATTTGCGGGGAACTATGCAAAAAACGCATCTTCGCACCGGCAGTCGTTGCGCTGGCCATTTCTTTCATCATCGTGTAACTTCCCCCCTAAAATCATGATAACAGTGACAGAAACAATGCCGAATTTGAAAGAGCGTTTGCAACGAGTTACTCCAAAGATGCATATGCATGCGGGCTTCTTCATGTGCAGCGCTGCTTGTTTTAGAATGCTTTTCGCCAAAAACAGACTGCTTCTGTTTTAGTTGGGATGAGCTAAAAACGGATTTCTGCCTGGGACTGTTGCGAGATTAATCAAACAGAAAAGGCATCTGAGGAAGTTTAGCCAAGCAGATAAAAAATCCGAGGATGTTACGAACTTCAGCCAGACAGATTGTACTAAACATTCTTTTTTTCAGTGCATGGTTACTGAGCCAGGAAACATTTCTGAATTTGGTGCTGACATGTCTAAACGGCGAGGAACAGCAGCGTGATGGATTGGTCGGGTCGTTACTCAAACAATTACAGGACTTGGCTGCAAAAGCTAAAGACGTTAGCCTGTTGTTCATCTTCTAGATAATTATTTACATAAGTGATATTTTAAAAAATTTTTTAGGGTTTTTAACAGTTTCTCATTATGTGACAGCTCAAAAAAAAACGCCGTTTTGAAATCAATTCCAAATTTTTTTGTGTTCCAAACAAGCAATTCCATAACAAAATACATTATTTTCTTTCAACAAATACTAGCTTCAGTGAAACTGCCCTTGCTAAAAAAAAGCGAAAAGAATTGGGAAAATATTCATTATTCAGCTTGCATTTCAAGCATTTTCTAAAATTTGAAAATCAGTCATACTGATAGGATTTGTTGGTTTGGGAATAAAAAATTCATTTTGCAGAATCCTCTGTTGCCTTACTTGCGAAAATTTTCGCTGGAACGGGAAGGAGTGCTGTTACGTCTATCACTGGTCGGCGGTATGTTCGATTCGGTATGTCATCCATCGAATTGCGATGCTTGGGCGCTCACACTCTTCCAGCTTATGTTATATGGTGTTGTTTCGAAAGAAAGAGATAGGTGAACTGCTTCTTTTACATTTCAAGAATTTGCATGCACAGCTTACACTTATTCTGAGCCTCTAATCTGGCATGGCTTCGTCATGGCTTTTGAGGACGGATGAAAACGGTTTTTTACTTTCGGAATTTTTACGGGATTTGGCTTATGTATATAATTTTTTAGTAACTGTTGGAGAGAGAATAATTTTTCGGGGAATTACTCTTAACAATTGATTTTCATATATCACAAGATTACTGGGCTGGCATTGCGAGTTCCCTGTATTATTAAAGTGGCTTAAAACAAAATTCTGTTGCATTTTACTCTATTCGTGATTAGCCATGTGTTCTTCTTGTGTTTCCTAAGTTTTGAAGGCATC